TAAATCTGACCGAAGAGGTTATCTATCTTTCTTCTGCAGAGCCTGAACACTTCTAACAGCATGGCTGACAGACATTACTACAGAACTAATCTATATTTGACAAGTTAAGTTCAAATAATATCATTGTCATCATTTTCAGGATGTCCTCGAAGGCACCAGTACTAATTTAATGAATTTTACACAAATTTTCATACTACCCTTTCAAGATGAGTTTTATTTTACTAAATCATTCCCCCTGAGTACTGCATAGTATTCTATTATGTGAATGTACCACAATTTCTAAATCCATTTATTTGTTGATGCATATTTAGATTGTTTGCATGTTCTTGCTAATGTGTTTAATTTTGCTATCCACATCAGTGTACATATCTCATTTTGTGTCTCAGTTCTGTTTTCCTTGGGATATATTCTGGAATAGCTGGGTCATATGGAATCTCTACGTTGAGCTTTTTGAGTAAATGTCAAACTGTCTTCCAGTGTGGTTATACTATTTTACAATCCCACCAACAGTGTATGAGAGTGTCAATCTCTCCATATCCTCTCAAACATTTCTTACTTGCTGTCCTGTTAAACTTTGCCACTGCCACTGGAATGAGATGGTATCTCATTGTGGTTTTGATCTGTATCTCTCTGATTACAGCTGAGGAAAACAAAGCAAAATAATATGATGAAACATGCAAAGAGAAAGAGTTGGAAAATCAGAAGACGCAAATTCATTTGGATTTTTTAAGCTGAAGGAACTGTATTCAAATCTCAAGTTTCAATACTCAAGGATGCTATGGGCAGAATACTGCATGATCCAGGAAGCATCAAAAGAAGATGTAAGGAGTACACAGTAACTGTACCAAAAAAGAATTGGAAGATGGAATACTAATTGACATATTTCAACAAACAGATGCAATCCAGGACATGCTCACCACATTGTGCCAGGAAATCTAGAGGACAACCACATGGCCAACTGAATGGAAGAGATCCATATTTATTCCCATTCCAAAAAAAAGGTGATAACAAGAGAATGTGGACATTATCAAACATTATCATTAATATCACACACAAGCAAAATCCTGCTGAAAAGTATTCCAAAATGACTAGAATAGTACATTGACAGCAAACTACCAAAAATACAGGCTGGGTTTTAAAAGGGCTGTGGCACTAGGAACATCAATATCAGATGACTCTTGGATGAAAGCAGAAAGTACTAAGGAATGTCTATCTCTGTTACATTGGTAATGCAAAGTCATTTGACTGTGTGGATCACAACAAACTGTGGCTGACTTTGAGAAGAATGAGAATCTCAGGACACTTGATTGTGCTCATGAGAAACCTATACACAGACCAGGAAGCAGTAATCTCTGTAAATGTTCCTTAAAATTAATTTTTAAAAAAATTAAAAAAGGAAAAAACAAAAAAAAAAGAAAAACAAGGGAAAAACAAAAACAAAAAAAGAATAGAGCAAAGAAACACTGCATGGTTCAAAATCATGGAAAAAGTGTGTCAAGGATACATCCTGTCTCCATAACTTTTCAATCTACATGCAGAACAGATCATTTAGGAGGCTGGATTTTTATGAGGAATGTGGCATCAGGATTGGAGGAAGATTCATCAACAACCTGTGTTATGCGGATGACACAACCTTGTTTGTTGAAATTGAAGATATCTAAAGCATTTGCTGCAGAAGGCTGTAGTCTTCAATATGGATTGAAGCTCAACATCAAGAAAACAAAGATTTTTCATGACTGGGCCAATTGGAAGCACCATGATAGATGGGGGGGAAATGAGATTGTTCATTATTACAGCTTGCTTGAATCCACAAATAACATTCTTGGCACTAGCAGTCAGAAAATGAAAAGACAAGTTGCATTAGGAAAATCTGCTGTCAGGGATCTCTCAAAAGTGCTGAAGAGCAACAATGTCAGTCTAGAGACTAGGGTGTCCCTGATGCAGGCCATGGTCTTTGCAATTATTTGCTATGCATCAGAGAGCTGGACAATGACTAATGATGAAAGAAGAAAAACTTATGCCTTCAAATTGTGGTGAAGAAAAAGAATGAATATACTATAGATGGCCAAAAGAACAAACAGGTATGTCCTGGAAAAGGTGAAACCAGTTTGTTCTTTGGAGGTAAAGATTTTGAAGTTCCATCTCACATACTCAGGCATGTTGCCAAGAGGGACCAGTCCTTGGAGAAGGAAATCATGCATGGAAAGGTGGAGGAATAGTGCAGGAAAGGAAGACCTTGGATTAGATGGATTGATATAATAATGGGTAATTGGGGTAAGTGTGATGGGAGAAGTAAGATAGGATGGTTTCAGAGCTATTGTACATAGGGTTGCTATGAGTTTTAGAAAACTTGACAGAACATAACAACAGCAAAAATAATACCTAGACTAAGAAGCTTCCTCTTCTTTGGAGCCACAATCTATATACTTGGTACCAGTAGTCAGGGGATCAGGATATGTATGTATTAAACTAGGAAAGTGTGCAATCACCCTCTCCAAATTAATGAGGAGCAGTGATGTCAGTTGGAGGATGAAGGTGTACCTGATCAGGCCATGGTCTTTTTAGTTGCTTGCTATGCATCTGAGAGCTGGACAATGTATAAAGACGACTGAAGAAGAATCAATGCCTTAGAGCTGTGGTGTTGGAGAAGAGGACTGAATATCCCATGGACTTCCAAAAGAACAAACAAATATGCTCTTAGAAAAGGAAAAATCTACAACCGGGAGAAGAATGGGACCCTCTAAGAATCAAATCCCTATGCACATCAGAAAATTTCTCCAATAGAGTAAAAAGGGAAGCCACAGACTGGGAATAAATATTTGGTAATGACATGTCAGATAAGGGACTTATATCCAGAATTTATAAAATACTTGAACACCACAATAAGATAAAGGTAAATAATCCAATAGAAAAATGGGCACAGGATATGAACAGACACTTCACCGAAGAAGACATTCAGATGGTCAACAAGCACATGAAGAAATGTTCAAAGTCCCTAGCTCTAAGAGAGATGCAAATCAAAACAACTATGAGATATCATCTCACCCCAGTAAGAATAGCAAAATATAACAGAACAGCAAGCAACAAATGCTGGCGAGGATGTGGAGAAACTGGAACTCTTATTCACTGTTGGTGGGAATGTAAGATGGTGCAACCATTGTGGAAGGCGGTGTGGTGCTTTCTCAAAAAATTGCAAATAGAGATACCATTTGACCCAGCAATCCCATTACTGGGAATATACCCCAGAGAGACCATGTCTGCCATCCAAGCAGATATATGCACACCCATGTTTACTGCAGCTTTGTTTACAATAGCAAAGAGTTGGAAGCAACCTTAGGGCCCATCAACAAACGAATGGATAGAGAAGCTGTGGTATATCCACACAATGGAATACTAAGCCACATTGAAAAACAAGGAACTCATGCAATATTATTCAAAGTGGGTGACCCTGGAGGACATTATGCTGAGTGAAATATCTCAGTCACAAAGGGACAAATACTGCATGGTGCCAGTGTTGTAGAATTGGTCTGACATCAGGTTTGGAGTATGACAGAAAAAACTGGATCAATTATGTATATTGTATTGAACCAGATGAGGGAAAGAACAGATTAGAGGTGATATATGATTGAGTATTATGCACAGGAATCCAGAATTAAGGTTGCATAGAGAAGTGTACTTGGGGTGGGGGGCGGGGGGAAGGGATGTGGGAATTTTATACTAATGAAGGAATATTATTTTTTTCTTTTTCTTTTCGGAGCGGGGAGTGAGCTGGTGGGGAGAGGTGGGCAGGGAGAAAAGTGTGACAATGAATGAATGGAAATCCAAAACCTCTGTAAATGTCTATTAAAATTAATAATAAAAATTTTTTTAAAAAGACAAAGAAAAAATCAACTCTTGTATGATAGAGATGAATATTGAATTATTTTAGAATAAAAGGGCATGCTATTTGGCAGTTCTTTGAAAATAACTCCAAGGACATTATGTGTAATGTGTGTATGACAGTATAAAGATGGAGCAAAATTGGAAATATGTTAATAAATATCCAATCTGGAAAAAAAAAAAAAAGAAAAGGTGCAGCCAAAGTGCACCTTGGAGACACTTGGACATCTTCCTTAGGAAGATGGAGGGACAGTGAAGAAAATGAAGACAGTCAACTAAGTGGATTGACATAGTGACTACAGCAATGGGTCCAGGGATTGTGAGGATGGCACAGGATAGATCTTTTGTTCATAGGGTTGAACTCAACTCAAAGGCATTGATGTGCTCATATCTGAAGACAACTGAATGTTTCACTCCAGACTAGAACTACAAGACTGAAGCTGAAATTGTGTGAGAAAGAATAAAAACCTTTAAATTGCTACATTCCTGATTAGAACTCAAGCAATATAGCACATTTCAATTTTAAATTCATGGCTTTAACACCACATTTCTTATTGAGTGGAATCCTACACTCCTACACTTGCCAGGTCCAAGTAAGTAAATGTCTAAGTGTCATCCCAAATTGCACATTTGCATTATTTTATGGGGATGTTAGGTATACTGTTGAAGCTTTTGTTGAACTTTGCCTTTAAATTTTCAGTCGAAATTTGGAAAGAGCAGAAAACTTGCTTTAATCTAAACAACGGCTCCATTAGAAGGGAAACCACAAAAGCCATCTCAGCTTAATAATTTACTAGTTCTTGGTTAATGCGCAACACACTTGTAAGTGTAAGGCACTTAAATAGAGTCTGTAAAAGGGCGTTATGCCTTTGTGTGGTGTTATCCATGTGCAGAGCCCACTGCTGATGGACATCTTTCTGTCAGCATCCCAGCAGCCACTCCACATAGTCACACAGCAGTCATGGTATCTACACGCCTGAACAGAAGCAGGGAATTGAACTTGAAGCTGTGTCTTTGTGATATCTTTGCAACAAGTCAAGTCTCATTCAGCCTCTTAGTGTATTTCTGTCAGGCTAGAGGCAAAAGTGGCTTACAAAGTTGTTAGAGGCAGCTAGACCAACCTGCTTGGTGCTGAGGAGGTAATGCGTTTTTCGAGCTTGATAATCTCTTTCCTTCTTTTCCCTTTCCAGGATCTCTTTCTTCTCTTCTCTTTCTTTCATCTCTGCAAACTCTTCCAGTCTCTCCCTGCATCACAATAGTTTGTAATTATTTATGGTACCAGAAATCTGATAACATTTTCACTCTCCCTGATGAAAACCAAGTGAGTGTTTTGAAGAGTGACCTTTATCCATACACATCAGTTGCATAGAATGTTTTGCCTGGATATTCTACAGGATTTCTGCAATCATCCTTAATAAGCATTTGAGTGATTTTCAATCGAATTTTTTTTCACTGTCATGTCAGAACTGACCAAGAGCTGACCCTCCAGAAGGTTTGCAGAGGTAGTAAATCCCAAGGGAGGAGATTGTCTAGCTGTGTCCCATAGAGCAGCTGGTGGATTTGAATTGCCTGCCTTAGGGCTGGCAGCACAACTCCTTACCACTAAGCCGTCAGGTCTCTCTAATTAATTCAATAGCCGGGGAAATATGTGTATCAAATATAAAGTAAGCCAATTACTACTACCATATTATTCATTTCTTCGGTTGAAAGTTATTTTGACACACATCCCATTTTAATAAATAGCTAATTTTAAAAGTATGGTAGGATTTTGTGTGCATTTACTTCTGCTAACACTTCATGGAGCTCCGGTGACTTAGTGGCAAGAAGCTGTGTTGCAATCTCAAAGGCGCCTGGTTCGAGGTCACCAGCTGTTCCTTGGGAGAATGATGGACAACCTGCTCCCATGTGATTAACTGCCTCTGAAAACCTGTGAGACAGTCAGCGATGGGTCAGTTCCAATTATACAACAACAATTAAATACCAATACAATCACATATGTCAGTCTACACTTGAAGGATTTTGTTCTATTACAAAAATAGAGTGAAAATTAGATTAGTTGAGTAAATTTTAGCCTCTAAGTATATGAAATTCCCTTAAAAATAATACAACTGTTCATCATTTTTATGTAAATCTCTAAGAAATGTTTTAAAATCCCTTTTTAAAAACATAATCTATGAAAACATATATTATCTAGAATAAACTATTAATAAATATGGAAAAAACATTGGATAATTTCTTTTCAAAGATAATTTTAACTATTCATGTTAAAGCAACATTTTTAAAATTGCATTTTTGTCTTTTTTTTTAAAAAGTAGAAACATAAGTTGGTATCTAGTGCTATCTATGTAAATAATCAGAATTTGCCTCAAAGACAGCAGGAAGGAACAGGGAAAATCCTAAAAAATAAAGAAGATTCTCATACTCAACTCTAGAAACACTTCTCTTGCAATTTCCTGCTTAAGGCTGCTCCTACAATCCTTATACAAGGTTGCTTATGGAACTCACTGATGTTTAGAAATCACCACGCTGTTCTACTTTAGGAGAGAATTTTTTTTCACTGTAAGATTAAATTGCAAAATAAATTAATTATTTGGAGTGACAAGGCCCCATTTTGCCACCCTTCTCTTGAAAATTGATTATTAATATGAAAAAAGGAGTCCGAAAAATAGCTTGTTTTACACTATGCATAATATTTCGGGGGCTTCTGCACCCACAGAGCTGGGCTAGCTTCACATTTGGATTGTGTTGGCAAACTATACAGTTACCTTTCTGACCTGCATCTCAAGGCTATTATTAATTGCTAAGTAACCTGGTAAAGGCAAACAAATTTGTTTCCATTGAAAGGATCTCTATCTGTGTCTGAGAATTTGTTCTGTACCAAGCAAACCTCATTAACTGTGTCTATTTTTGACAAAGAACCTGGAGTTAGAGGGATTGGTGACCTTTCTTTGTCCTTAATGTAAAAATTTCAAGGCAGTTACATACAAATAAATGAAAACTTTACTGGAAAAAACAGATCATAGATTTTAAAATGAAATACATTATGAATTTGAATGTTTACTTTTGGAATTACAAACAAAATTTCTCTATAATTTCTTACACGCCATTAAAATTATCCATGAAATTGAATTTCAACATAATCGGAAAAGCATCTATCTAATTTTATATTACTCTAAAAATGTGAATAATACTTCATAACTAACAGATCAATAAAAATCCTTTGTCATCTGTAAGTAGTTAAATGAACATCAACATAAAAAATCTTACATAAGAACAACTATATGTATGTGATAAATATCACATATACATATCAAATTTTGATATGATTTGTATTATATGTCAAATCCTAAGTATGGGTAAAGTTAATGAAAAATGTACAGAGAATTTGGAGATAAAATGAAAAATGTAAACTGTTTTGAAATAGCAAAAAACAATCCATCTTCAGATAACAAAAATACAAAATAAAAACAGTTGCATTTGGGAACAGGACAAGAAGAGCTAAAACTGAGATATCAGAAGAAATATGTCAGTGTCCAGCGTACATAGAAAACACAGCACAGAAAAAACTAGGAAGACTCTTTCCTTCATCTCAGCTCTCAAAAAAGGGAAAAAAAATCTCAGGTATTTGATAGCACACAAGTAACTAATCAGAGGTAATTTTAAAATACACACAAGTAATACATTTACTAAATATTACATAGATTTAATATATTTACAGAATTACTCAGAGATTATTTATTCTCAGAGTCCTAAGTTATAGTATATTTGAGAACCTGTGAATATATTGCACATTTCTATTATGTTTCCTTCAAATAGAATTTGCTGACTGACTAGGTAGAAGAGTTGAGTATCTAAATTACATCTATACCTAAGTTTTCGAGAGTTCTGATGACTTAATAAGGAATTGTACTGCCAGCACAAAAGTACATGGTTTGAATCCTTATCTTTTCTGCAGGAAAATGATGGACAATCTCCTCCCATGTAATTTATTGCCTCTGGAAACCCACTGAAGAGTTAGCTATGGGTTGCTTCCAACATGATGGTACACAACACTATATAAGTTTTAGGTACATCAGTAGAGATGAAAATATGACTCAGTGTAAAGCCAAAACAAACCCATTGTGAAAAAAAAGTTCTAAAAATTATATTCTTATTAAAAACAAAATGATAAGAGCTTTTCTAACTAGGAACCTCTGTTGTTGTTGTTGTTGTTGTTGTTGTTATGGGCCATCAAACTGTTTGTGTCTCATAGCGAATCTATGTACAGTGGCCCTGAAATCTGCTTTATCCTGTACCAATTTTACTGCTTCTGACACATCTACCCTCATTACCCCAGTCACTGTATCACACTCCATCTCATTCCTCTCTTTCTCTGTCCCTCCAGCCTTCCAAGCATGATGTCTCTTTCTAAGGACTTGTCTCTCTACAACATGCCCAAAGTATGTCAGACAAAGCCTCAGTATCCTTACCTGCAGAGAGCAGCCTGGCTTCACCTTCTCTAGGATGAACCTGTTTGTTCTCCCGGCAGTCCATGGTATATTTAACACTCTTCTCTAGCACCACAGCTCAAAGGCAACAATTCTCTTTCTATTAATCCTAGTCATTGTTCAACACTCTGACACTCTGACACATAACAAGCAATTGCTCCTGATGGCCGACTTTCCCAATGTGATTCATCCCTTGATTTCCTGGCTGCTGTTACCAGGAGTGTTGATTGTGGAACCAAGTGAACTAATAGCTGATAACAATCTCAATATTTTCACCAGTTATGAGGCTGCCAATCTGCCCAGAGTGAGACTCTTTTCTTTGTTGATGTTAAGCTTCAATCTATATTGAAGGCTGCAGTTCTTGACATTCTGCAGCAAGTGCTTCAGGTCCTCCTGAGTTTCAGCAAGCAGGGTTGTGTCATCTACAGAACACAGGTTGTTGATGATTCTTCCTCCAATCCTGATGCCATCCATATTCCTCCTCATACAGCCCAGTGTCCCAAACGATCTGTTCTGCATACTGATTGGAAAGGTATAGAGACAGAATACATCCCTGATGTACACCCTTCCCAATTTTGAACCATATAGTATCTCTTTGTACAACAAAATTATTTTTGAAAAAATACTTTAAATTGTGGAACTTTTAAAAGATGTTTTGAAACTTTTTTCAAATACTTTCAAGCTATCTCAATATATATATTTTTTTCTCCTCCATTTCAGATATGCTTTGTTATATTTGTGCTAAGAAACAACAAAACCCCTTTTCTGTGACGTAGGGTAACATCAAATCAGCTCTGACGCCGCACGGTGACACTCTAAGACAGAGCAGGATTGTTCCATGAGGCTCCTGAGGCTATGATCGCCTCCAAAGCTGATCACCAGGGTGTGGAGATGGGTTATTCTCCTCCCACAGATCTGCCGGGAGCTGCTACTACCTGGTTAACAGCTGAACATCAACATCAACTGTGCCACCAGATCTAATTCTATATGTGGTAACTCTTACTGAATACTCTATTTTATAAATATGGAAGCTAATGAAGAGATTCAATGACAATGTTATTGTTGTTCTTATGTGCCGTCGAGTCGTTTCCGACTCATAGCGACCCTATGCACAACAGC